TCTAAGTTCTTGAAACATAATGTTAATCAAAAGAGACAAGATCAGTGGGGTGTGGTTGTTCACTTAAGATTCCAGAGCTTTGAGGCACTGAGGCGAGAGAATCCCTTGAGGTTAGGAGTTTGAGAGCAGCCTGGGCAATACAGTGAGACTCCATCTCCACACAAAAAAAAGTTTTTTTAATTAGCTGGGCATGGTGGTTGTTGCCTGTAGTCCTACCTACCAGGAGACTGAGGTGGAAGGATCACTTGAGCCTAGGAGTTCCGGGCTACAGTGAGCTGTGATCACACCACTGCACTCCAGCCTGGGTGACAGAGTAAGACTCTATCTCAAAAACAAAAACAAAAAGAGACAAGATCAGTGATATCATGGGGCTTATATTCTAGTGAGTATGCAGATTATAAAAAATACAAAAATATAATATCAGATAGCGATAAATGGTTTGCAGATTTTTTTTTTTCCTGAGACATAGTTTCACTCGTTTCCCAGGCAATGGCATGATCTCGGCTCACTGCAACCTCCGCCTCCTGGGTTCAAGCAATTCTCCTGCCTCAGACTCCTGAGTAGCTGGAATTACAGGCATGGGCCACCACACCCAGTTAATTTTGCATTTAGAGACAGGGTGTTTCCATGCTGGTAAGGATGGTCTCCAAATCCCGACCTCAGGTGATCTACCTGCCTTGACCTCCCAAAGTGCTGGGATTACAGGCGTGAAGAAATTTTTAAATTAAAAAGGTAATGGGATAGAGGGAGATGAGCCTAGTGTCATTCTGGAAAGACGGTTAGGTAGTAATGCTTGTCTGCAAAGGTGATACTTGAACTACAACATGAAATGACGAAAAGGAGTCACTCATGTAATAACCTAGGAAAAGAGTTCCAGACAGACGAACAGAGTGCAAAAGCCCTAAGTTAGGAGCAAGTCATGGCATTGATGAGGAAAAAATGAAGGGCAATGTAGATGAAATATAGTAAAAAGTGGAGGAAGAGTGTATAGAAATGATAGATTTAAGAGGAAAAGATGTAAACTAGCAAAGGATGGATTCGATCACGTACAAAACTAGCAAGCAGTAGAAAGGATTTTAAAATAACTTGAGCTTTACGAAATACTCATTATATTATCTTTAATTCTCATTTTGCCTTGGGTCAGTGATAACTTTGACAGGCCTTTAGAAACTTCCATTTCCAAGTCCTTATAACACAGTCCTAAAGTTGGCCGGAAATGAACATATTCCGAAGCAGAAAGTATCTTTTCTAGTACACTATATTTAAAGGAAAAAAAGAATTTTCGGATGAAAGCAGTCATCTTAAAGGAAAGAAGGAAAATAACCTAGGATGAAGGAATAATAGAAACGACTTCAAATTTTGTTCTGTTCATTACTCTGTGAATAAATTTACCATATAAAGATTACAGAAAGGTCTTTGAATTAGTCTATCATAATTAAGGAAGGTCATAAAACTTAAGTTCTTTCTAAACTACCATAAATGTGACAGCCTGTTTACTGAGTTCATTATTATTGAACTGAACATTAACAAAGTTAAATACCATCAGAAAAGAAAAAGTAGAAACCAGGCTTCTGACTTTATTGCCCCTGGTAAGAATGGTCACAGCTTAATGGTCAACAAAGTTGTGGGCTTTAATGTTATCTCTGTGACTATGATAAATGTGGGCTTTAATCTTATCTCTATGACTATGATACAGGACGAACTTCCCCTCTGTGGTGAAATGAACACTAAAATTAGGTACATGGGATGCTTCAATATCTTCTCCAAAAGCTTTTTACAAGAAGACACCAATTTGTTTAAAAAGGTTTGGATATAGTTACACATCACGCAAGAGTGATGACCTTTCCAGATCCTTCCAAACAACTTATATCTGTGTACACTAACCAAGTAATTAAACCTACACTGCTTCTAAGTTGAATGCAAGTCAAGTCAGATCTTTAAAAGCTATAATGTATTCAGAAATCTTATCTTTCATCATGTTAGATGTATACTTAGACCACTTAACAGGAGACTGTTAATAACAGAGTCTATGAAGAATGATACTTTGTGAGCGTGGTGTAAGTTAAAGAAAGTCAAGTCATTAAACACCTTGATTGAGCCTTGCTTCTGAGTGCATCCTCCTCAGCACACTTACCAGCAGTTTGGCAAAGTGCCCAGGATGATTAGCAGCCAAGGTATATGTAAGGAGGAATATGGTTAAGCCCGATTGTAAAGTCTCCCCCCAGTGGTCAGATACAAGTAACAGAAAAGGAGGAAAATCATTGCAGCTTCTGTGAGACTCAACAGGAACACTAAGCAAAACTGGTCCCTACAAGAAAAAAATAAAATATTTAATTCAATAATGGTACCGTATCAGAGATCTCTTGTACTTATCTGCTCTTATATTTATAAACGTGAAGACCACTTTTCTAAAGAAGGAACCTAGAGTTAAAACAAAACTAGCATAGTTTTTCTCAATATCATTTTTAAGGAATAACTGACATATTTCCAAACAGTTTAGTATTTGTTTTATCAAATGGGTAAGTGTTCATTCTTCCTGAAATAAATATCGGCACATCGCTTACATGGTTAACTATACTTATGTGAAATAGAGTTCTGATTAAAAAAAAAAAAAAAAAAAAAAAAAAAAAAAAAATTAGTCACTGACTAAATGAATCACTCTGGAAAGAAAAAATATTAACTATTATATACCTAATGAGAGATTTACAAGATACTCTTTTTCAAAAGTCAACTAGCAATAGGTAATTTACAGTAGAGTAAGCGATGTCAAAAGTATAAATGGATTCTCTTACCTCTTATTTTCTTGCTGTCTTGTACAACTCGTCTTTGACCAGCACTAATCCTGTATGACTTGTAACTCTCTCAGCAATAATTTGCTGATGCTACTCAATTTTAACAAAGCTCGGACGTCAAAAATATGAAAGGCATTTAATTAAAAACATCTGTTGTCTTCTGCTAATCCATTATTAAGTAGTAAAGTATGTAATGGGATAGTAAATATTCAAACAAGCAACTTGAATTTTAAAACAACTTTTTAAAAAGATAACACATAATCACAATTATGTCTTCTTGGTTATCTCAAGCTAAAAAGAGGGGAGTGGGAGAGAAAGAAGCAGGCTATGTAGTCTTCTGGAACAATTTCAGCCTAAAATGAGACTGAGAAAGAAGCAAACTGCTCCCTCAAATGTTTAAAAATATGATTCATTTTTAAAAATCCAACAGTTGGTCTAAAGAAAAAAAAAAAGATCCTGTCTTATATAGAGCTACTAGACTTGCTTAAGCACCTTCATTTTTCCAGTGTTGATTTAACCTAGAATGTAAAATGATTCATTCTGACATTTCAGATGGAAAAGAATTCGGTGACATCAGTAAGAACACATAGACACCTCTTCCATAAAGATGGTGTGCAGCCTCCATAGGACAAAACTGAGCAATTAAAAGTGTTACCATTTGTGTATTATGTAACCGTAGTCTAGAATTTAAGAAACATGGATCTTAAAGGGTAACACATCGTGTGAACGCGTATATAAACACCTATTTAAATAGATGATATATTAAAGGTACAAATCACCTCAAAATGACACAATCCACAAAAGTTCTTTGTTTACTCTTAATAAGGCCTCAGAAGACAGAACTATAATCAGGCCTACCACTCTGTCATCACTGCACAGTAGATACCTACAATAAGCAATATTACTTGAGGTCCACTGCTATACCTATATAAGGAAACTACCGCATTACTAACGTTACTTCGCTTGATATATTCGACCAACATAAGTTTACAAATGATTTGCAAGATTTCATGGGACGAAATGGCTGCTCCAATTGAAGAGCATTTTCACGCACCCCAAACGTCCTCAGCTACATTACAAGAGCACTTGAAGCACAAAGTAAAATTCCAGCACTCTCCAAAGGCACAGGAAAGAGTAAAATGTGGCTAGCCTGACCTTAACCGGCTGTTTATAAGTAATGAGGAGAATTTTCTGAGCTTCCCCGTCAGTCTTCAGTTCTCTTCTTCGCTTCACCCCCCAACCCCCTACACAGACGCACACCCAGCTGATGGAAGTTTAACCAATGTAATCTCGAGCTGCAATCCCAGAAACTGGTTAAGCCTGAGAATAAACTCCCAATAAACTGTTAAAAAGTCCTTCTGCAAAAAACATTTACCAACCAATCCACATTCCGTCACCACACGGTCAGATCCCTCAATCGACTCCCCTGCTGACCCTCCACACAGCTCCCCCCCCCCAAAAAAAAAAAAAAAAAAAAAACGCCCCGACACCTATCCGGTTTCAGATAAATGTACCCAGGACCCGGGAGCACGACCTCAGCTGCGAACGCCCCCGGAGCAGCGTGTGCTCGGCCCACAGCCACTTTGGCCAAACAACTGGAGTCTTCTACCTCGGAAGTAGCGGCGGTAGTTGGAGAAAGCCTCCCCCCACCCCCGCCAGGAACTCCGAGCTCGGGAAAGAACCGAGTGCAGGAGGAATCGCCCCCTCTCGGAACCGACCCCGGAGGTGTCAGTCACAGCAACACCGCCCCCATGCCGGCTCTCCATTCAGGCTCCACCACGACTCCCGCCGCAGAGGTGTCGGCGCCCGAGCCCCGAGCCGAGAGGGGCCCCGCGCGTCTGCGGCCCTAGCCCAAGCCGGGGCCGCGCCAGGGAGCGCGTGGGGAGCGGCGGCCAGCAGCATGGGCCAGACACGTTGCCGCGCTCCGGCCCGGCCCGGCCCGCCCCGCGGCCCGCAGCCCGAGAGCCAGGAGCACGGTCGAGCGCCCCTTCCGCGCGGGCTGGGCCGGGGGCGATGAACAGCCTCCCTGCCCGCGCCGCCTCCGGCTCCCGGGTCCCTTTCCCGTCGCCCGCCGAAGCCCAGGTGCCGAGGGGCGGGGCGGGCCAGGGTCCTCGCGTGGCGCGCCGCGGCGAGCAACAGGGCGCCCCCGGCCGGCCCGGCGCGCGGCGCGACCGTTACCAGAGCGGGGTGGGGGACCCGACAACTCACCGGCTCGCACGGCTCGCACCTCCGCCGCCTCCGCGCCGCCGCCGCCGCTCTCGGTCGCTCTCCGCCGCCACTGCTCTCCCTCAGCCACAGGCACCGCTGAGCAGCCCCATCTGCAAACTCGGGGCTCGTAGTTGGGAATTGGAAATGCGTCTCTCACTGCCCTCCGTCTCCCTCTCCCTCCTCTCCTTCCCTCGCTCCCCACTCCGCCCCAGCTCCGGTCGCCCCCGCCGCTGCCTCCGCGCACGCGGCCAGCCTCCCCTCAGCCGCCCTCCTCCTCCTCCACCTCCAGCCGCCGCCGCCGCCCGCCGCCGGGGCGCGCTCCCTGCTGGCCTCGCGCGTGCGCCGGACGCCGGGGCGCGCGCGCTCGGGCGCGAGGAGGCGCCACCGCCTCCGGGAAGCCGGGCCCCGCCCCTCCGGCCGCGGCGCGGCGTCCAGGTGGAGCCCCCTCCCAGCCTCCGCGCGCCTCGCCTGATTGCGCTCCGCGCCCGGCCGCCTCGCTGCGGGGCTCCCAGCCCTGCGCCAGCCCGGGGGCCGCTGCCGCGCCCGCGAGAGAGCGTTTGTTGGACCCAGTCCCCGCCGGGTCTCCCGAACCGAAGTCGCCGCTGTCACTCAGCGTTGACCGCTGGGCGAGATACTCCGCGGGCATAAAAGAGGCTCCGCCCTGCCCTTTCTGAGAGTTTTACATTCAAGAACCCGGTCCTGAGGCACAAAAGAGAAATGGAACTGGAAGAAAAGCCTCTGGAAAAATCTCCCCCTCCCCCTTCACACACACCCCTAGTTCTGATGTGTATTTGGCAGGTTCTACGGCGCTGACTGTGTCCTTCATGAATTTTCTCCCAAAGGCTCTACCGGGCAGGGTGATTCACACCCGAGGAGATGGATGGACGCTGACTCTTTTCGTAGCACCGAGGCTGCCGTAGAACTCCCGGGGCCGGCTTTGCCAGACACTCCCTGGACACAGTTGTTCAGCCCCTCCCCAGCATCTGGGCTTCCCAGACCTCGAAAGGGTGGGGTTGGGGAGGGCATGCCATCCTTTCAACCTGGACTCTGTGTAGAGCCTGGTGAACTATGATGAGTGTCCGGGTGTGTAGATGACACATTTTGACAAGAGTGCAGATTTAATTTTTCACTTGAAAGGAACTGAGCAATGCACTGCAGCAGAGACTTCTGATTAGAAAAACACAGCAAGTCAGCCAGAGAACTTCCGATCCCCTTAAAAGACCTCTGTGAACCCTCAGACCCGTGACGGGAGGCTTTTGGAAAAACTGTGTTCTTCCTAAAATTGAATCATGTAATTTACATCTTACAAGATGCTTACTGCAGTCTTTTCAAACCATGATTGCATAAAGTGCAAGTCAAACTTCGCATGTGAGGCGTGTATCAGGTGGCCTCCTCTGTGCAGCCTTTCCTGGCTTCTCGGGCACCTTGCACAAACCAGACCATTGATAAATGTTTGCAGAATAAGCGCGTGCATCATGGCCCTTTGAATTCAGAGATGGAGTTATAATTTGTATTGTCTCCTCTCTTTGTGAATGCGGCAGTCACAGAAGGGAGAGAGAAAATACTATTGATGAGATGTATTAAGAAGGCCCAGTGTCCAAAACAGTGATTTTTGTCTTTATCCTCAAGCAAGCATCAAAGATTAATTTCCTTTTCCATTAGGATCATTAATTTTGCAAACCAACATTCAGGGGGGCCTTGTACAGTGTTAATTTAGAACGTTCTTTCCTGGAACAGCAAACCCAAGCAAAGGTAATTGGAAGCATTTACGGAGACTCAAACGTGCCCAGAGCACAGAGTAGCTTTGGGTCCCCTGTAGTCAGGCTGGCTGGATGAAATGAAGCAGAGTGGGCTCAGAGCCCAAGGCAGAGACAAAGTGAAAGGATGAGGTTTGTCTTCTCAGGGTGTCAGCAAGACCTTTCGGTTCTTTCTTGCTGCCCCAAGCTCACTTGCTTCCCACAGGACACCCATGGGTCCTCCCTGCTGTGCCCTACCCAGGCTTGTGAACTGGGTATTCTCCCTTCTGACCCCTACCTTACCACATCCCTGTGGACCCAGCTACTTACTTGCCCTAAGCTCCTGGGGTTGGTGTGGAAGGTGGGGTCTGAATGTCATTTCCAGATGTGTTACTGATTCCCAACAGAGCACTTTTATTTTCTCAGGGGTCTTCTGGAAACGTCCTTACCTACTCTACCCCTGGTCCCTGCAAGTAAAAGAGGTTGACTGAGGAAGTTTCAGGAAGGGAGTGTTAGGGGAGGCTCTGCCCCTCAAATTACATGCAGACCTACCTGACTTATAGCTGGTTACCACTCTTGGCCAACTCCCTTATCTCTTCATCTACCAGAGACCCAGCATTTGGGAGCAGGAATACAGGACCAATTATCTTTCATTTGCAGTTCCAAGTCTGTTCTCTAAGTAATGACAGCAGGTATCAGATGGAGGTTATCACTGCTGTAAGACTCAGGTTCATCCTTAGAGTCAGAAAAAATGACTCTGCTCCAATAAGTATCTTCGATTGCTTCCCTTCAGGAAGCTCTTGCCAGTGAAATTCCTCTCTCAGTGTCTATATTTTATCAAATACTCATATACAGTTATATTAGGAAGCACTACTTCCTTTATAAATAATACTCCTACTTTATAGCATTCTGCCCTTTCTCTAAACTTTAAAGGCGGGACATGCTAGGATAAATTTAAAGTGTTCTCAACAAAACATTGGAACTCCCATCATTGCTTCCCAGTTCAGCTTTCTGAGAGGTCATTATACTGAGCTCCCACCATCCATTTCCCATGCCTGTTACAAATTCTTCATTCCACGAAAGGGGAACGATATGATTGAGAATGATGGTGGGTCTTTCTCTTCAGTGTCCTTAATAGTCTGACTTTTCATTTCCTTCAAGGTTACTTTAAAGGCATCATAATTTTACCACAGCCCAGTATCTCCTAACAGTGATTCAATTTAAAATCTGAATTTTGATTCTTAATTCGGGAGCACCCCTCATTCAATTTTGTTTCCTCCTTTAAATATAAACAAAATATACTTTTAACGTGTTACATTTTCTTTTCTGGCCTGCTTTGCTCCTACAGAAATTGGGAATTTTCCTAATAGTAAAAGCCCCAAATTTTAGCAAAAGCAAGTCCTGTGTGCTTGTTTTTCAACTAATCCATCATGGTAAAAGCAGTGACACTCCTGGGGGATAGCTTTATTTAAAAATGCAACTGGCATGCATCACCAAGTCCAACCAAGTTTTTCTTCAGAATACTTTATTTAGCTTCACCCCTTTTATCTCTGCTCACAAAGCTAGGTCAGATTCCAATTTCCAGCTTTCTTGCTAACCTTTCTAATTCTAGCCTCTCTCTTGTTTCCTTGCAATTTATCCTATACTCAGAGCAGTGCTTCTTAATTTTTGGCTCTTTATTGGAATCACCCAGAGAACTTTAAGAAACAAAACAAAGCACTGATGCTTTGGTGCCACCCCAGACTTAATTGCCCTGGAGCACAGCCTGGGCACCAGGATTTTTCAGAGCTCTCCAGGTAACTCTAATATGCAGCCAGGGTTAAGAGCTATGGAAATAAATCATCTTCCAGACAACATTTATATCAAGTCTTCTCAAAACACTGGGGTAGCTCCAAATTACCTCGAGTAATCAAATTAAAATTCCTAATCCTGTGCTTTAAGACTCTTTGCCAATTGACTAGAATAGCCCCCTTTCAAAACAGCTTAAATTTATCTCCTTCCTAAAGCTTCTCCAGATTAGTCTCACCTGGCTGCCTGAAGATCACTGTTCCCAGCTCTGAGCATCCCGACTGGCATTGGTTTACAAACCCTTGGACCTCAGTCGATTGTGTACATTATTGTTTTAATCTTGCTTTCACAGATATCTGTCAGAGGCTTTTCTTGTAATCTGAATCTCTCCAAAAGTTCCACTGGGTCAACAATCTCAAACAGAAATGTCTTAGCAGAACTTTCTCTTCTAAACTGGCTGTCTGAAAGATCAGTTCCTGATACAATGGCAGTTCTTTTTTTTTTTTTTTTTTTTTTTAATCATCACAATGAAAGCCAAGAATTGTAGGAACTTGAATTTTGGTGGTGGTTTGGATTTTCCTTAAAAAAGAAAACTATATGAAGTGGAAATTTGTCAAAAAAAGAAAAAAGAAAAAGAAAAAGTATATATCTCAGCATATCTCCTTGACTTTTCTTACCATTATTTGTTTATCTTAGGCATTGGAATTGGGCTTCTATATCCACTTGTGTACTGAAACTACTCTTTCCACCACAATTAACATTTTCATTCTTGTGCTCACTCATTCATTCACTGATTTATTAGTAAAACATACTGAAAATAAAAAGAAAAAACAATATCAAGTAGCCCCTACCTAATGATGAAGAATAACCAAATGTCATGTAATAAGTGCTATGCCAGGTGTCTTAATTGTATATGGCAGAATTAGAGGTGAGGGTCTTTGCTTAGTGTTCATGCCCTTGAACTCTGGTGCAGTGTTTGAGGAAGTTAATCTCTCATAGCCTCACTCTTTACACCTCTCCTTTCCTTTGACTTCTCTGATATCATACCGCCTGGAGCTCCATCTCTGACCCTTACCCTGTTGCGTTATCTCTTCCTACTTCCTAAAGAAAAATGTTCTGCTAAGAATGAAATACATTTTTGAGGAGAAACTGTAAAAAGAGAACATAGGACTGTTTATCTCGAGCAGGCGTCCCCAAACTACGGCCTGCGGGCCGCATGCGGCCCCCTGAGGCCATTTATCCGGCCCCCTGCCGCACTTCAGGAAGGGGCACCTCTTACATTGGTGGTCAGTGAGAGGAGCACAGTATGTGGCAGCCCTCAAACGGTCTGAGGGACAGTGAACTGGCCCCCTGTGTAAAAAGTTTGGGGACGCCTGATCTCGAGAATCCCAGGGATCCTTAGGACTCAGCACCAGTGCTTCCACATCTGTATCTATTCTCCCTTGAGGCATATTTTCAACTCACTGTTGAAAATCTCCATCTAGATGAGCTATTCTAGATGAGCTATTGCTCCTGCTGGCTTTTCTGGCACCTTCCTTTTCTTCACCGTCTTTACTGTCTCCTGAACAAACTCATATTCAAATCCCTTGTAGCCCACCTTCTTAAAGTCATAGGAATGTATTCTCTTGTTTCTTTGCTTTGGCCCTTCAGACTCTCCTAACTCATCTCCCTGCCTCAGGGCCTCCGTGCCCTAATTTCATCTGTACCTGACAACCAGGTGCCA